TTCGGGGGGGGGGGGGGGGGGTTGGGGATTGGGGGGGAGGGCGGATTTCGGCTGGAACGGCAAGGTGCAGGCCCGAGGAACAGAAGAGGGTCACAATATTTAAAAAAATAAAAATAAAACAGGAACGGAGGCGACGCTTCGGCATGAGGCTAGAACTTGAACTCCTTGTACTTCTTGGCCCCTGCCCGGGTGTCTTGGGGCTGAGCTTTCCGTTTCTTTTGCTGCAAAAAGAGGAGAAAAGGGAAAGCATTTTACGCTGATGCAGACCGGAGACTCCAAATCCCAGCTTGAAAAATCTGCCCATTCCCTCTTTCGTCCCCCTCCATCCGCCACCTCTTCATCCCAACGGCTGCCTAAGAGGGTCCTGGCATCTTCCCCCTTTGGGTCCACGGATGCCTCGGTTTCCCTCGTTTCCTTGCAGGTTTCTGTCCCAGCCGGGTGCCAGCTCAGCCTCCCACCTCCTTCAGTCAACCCGGAACCCTGTTATCCACCTCTCCTGCCAGCCCCCACAAGACCTTTCGGCAGGAATGAGAAACCTCTGCCCTTGCGGACCCTCGGGAAGCTTCTTCGGCTCGTCTCTCTTAATTAGTATACATACAAAAGTTTAATTGCTGAGACATTTAGGATTAAGACACCAATCTCTGGATCATACCCTGTGCTCAGTGACTAATATAATAATCTGTAGCCCTTTTACAACACCCACCGATCCGCTATCCTTACTGAGCCAGTCTGCTGTCTCTTTTTGAGATGTTTAAAAAAATGCTGTTGAAAGAAAAGGAAAAAACGCAGCAGGACAATCAAGAAAAACACCCTAAAGCGAACCAAGAAACAAAGCCCTCGCCCGGGCGAAGAGAATCCGGCTCACCTTCTGCTTAGCCGCGTGTTCGGCCACCATGTCGCTGAAATCTTCCTTCTCCACCTGCGCCTGCTGCTCCCGGACGTGTTCCTCGTACTTCTGCGTCATGGCCATGGGGTCCAACTCCAGCTCCTCGGGGGCCAGAGCCACCTCCACCCCCTGGATCTCGGGCACCGGCCCTTTGCGGCTCATCACCTAAGGAGCAAACACCAAGGGAGACGCCTGGTTCAGAACCGGAAATCCAGAAAAAGCTACCTTGACGAGGCGTTTTCCAAGTGGGAAGGAGCGAAATGCTTTTTTACGACAAGATTTTTAGTCATTCACAATGTCAGGAATCATGGAGCGTAAAATTCTGAGAGTCTATGGATCTCACGGTAGAGGGAAGGATATAAACGCTCTAAATAACTAAATAATAAATACCAACTTACATATCCATCATTAAATGAGAATTAAAAACCATACTGAGGGTATGGAACATATGAGAAAGGGTAGAGAGGAGATCTGGTAGAGAGGAGATCTGGATCTGCGGGGAGATCTCCGATCCGCCTGTGGCAACTGGCAAACCCTGGACTGACACACACACCAACTGCTTGACAACGACATTAAAACAACGGTCCACAGAAGGAGGGGATCCGTGCACCATTTCTGCTCCGTTCTGGTGCAAACGATACATTTCCTGGGCTTAGAATGCTTTCGATTCAAAGCCGACATCGTTCGCAAGAGATTCCTGTTGGGAGGCCTTAAGCGTTCTAATAAAAACCAAGGCGGGTCACACAGGCACGAAGTTTGCCCACCCACTTTGCAAGGCAAAGTTTTGGACTGTCTTCTGCCATCATCCTCTAGTTACTTCTGGACTGCACGACTCCGCCAACCTGCCGTTTTGAGACCGCCCTGCGCCCCGCTGAGCTTCCGTTTTTTAAAAAAAGTCCTGATGGGCACAGGACCGGTTTATTGCCTAGATCAGTCGGTTCCTGACCTTGGACCACTCAGGGGGGGGGGCACAGGACCGGTTTATTGCCTAGATCATTTGGTCCCCAACTTTGAGCCACTCAGGGGTTCCTGGACTGCAACTCCCAGAAACCCTGGGCCGACACAGAAAGGTTTCTGGGAATTGCAGTCCAAGAACGTCTCGGTGACCCAAGGTTGGGAACGGCTGATCTTAGGGTGTCCAACAGAGAGGGAGCGTGATCCGAGATCAGAAAAAGGAAACTCAGGCATACCCTCACAGGCTGGCGAGTTTCCAGAGGGCATGGACCTTCATGGATGGATGGCCCCTTCCTCCAACACCAGGGGGATGACCAAGGCCTGGTCACACCCAACCCCAGGCTTTTAAACCCCACACGGCTTCCTCCAGCAGGGAGGAACGGAAGACAAGAGCCCGTCGTTCCCCATCCGGGGGAGGCTCTTCTGGCCCAGACTGAGAAGAGCTGATCTGTTCAAAGGGACGGGGACTCGCGAGTCGTGATGGGCTCTCGAATCAGACGCAAGTGACACCGACGACTCAGGCGCCATTCAGGGGTTTTTGGAAGGACTTGCCACTTGCACCCGATGGTCCGAGTCACACTGCAGAGTCCCCTACAGGCCTACCCGCCACTGTCATTTTCAGGGGCACGTTCTGACCCATTGAGAGGCTGGCAGATGCATCGGGGGGGGGCTCGTCTCTGAGCATGCACAGTCCAAATCCTGAGTCCCAAACTTTTGGGGGGGGGGCAAAGATTAAACAACTTGAACTTGGGACCTGGGTCCCAAGACTCGCACTCAGACCCGAGACTTTTCCCCGAAGACTTGCCACTATCCCCATTCGTTCTCTGCCCAGGTGAGCCTGTTTTCATCTTGGGGAGATCATCTAGTCTTAAAACAAAGGAGCTGGAAAATACAGGAAGTCAAGAATGGGGCAAGGGGGGGGAAGCTTGACCCATTTCTGAGAGGAAGCTGCCAGCGCCGGCGTTTTCCCTACCGTCGTCATGTCGTAGATGTGCGTGGAGCCCATCATGGCCCCGCCCACCGTCGCCGTCCTCTTCTCGGGCAGAACGGTGAACAGCTGGGGTGTCTCGCTCCTGCGGGCGGAAGGGAGAGAAGGCTCGGGGTCACGACGGCGGGGAATCGGGAGAAGCCACGCGGCGAAGGACAGCAACGGGGAAGCCTTCCGCACCCAGACCGCAGGCAGAGACCCAGTCCTGGCCAACCCACCTCCTAACAAGTCCTCTACCCAAATGTCTTACACTGGGCTGTTCATAAATGGGCAAGTCCCTGGATGTTGGGTTTTTTTGCTTTCCTAAGTTTGCTTATAAAGTTTTAAACGTTCTTGACTACTTAATGGATTTTTTGTCGTTTAACTGCTTTTTAATCTCTAAACTTTTTAAAAAAGTATTACTTGTTTTAACCTCCTTGGGTCCCCCCCTCTCTGGGAGAAAGCCAGCCTAAGAATAATACCAAATAAGTAAAACAACAACAACAACAACCCGACAGAGCCCACACTCGTTCCCCCAGGTAGACGGGGATAAAAAAAACACACACACACACACAACCCAACAGAGCCCACACTCGTTCCCCCAGTAGACGGGGACGGAGAGAAAAGGCAGCGATCACTCACCCGTCCATGGCCTCCTCAATCTTCTTCTTACGCAGTTCAATAAGCTCGGGGGTCTCCATGCCAGCCGGCACCGAAGAGAAGCCGCCGGGAGTGATCAGCCCGCTAAACAAGAGAGATCAGAACAGGAAGGGAGTCGGGGTCAGGCCAAACCCAGGCACCTTCCTGCCTGCCCATTCCCCCAAACAGCAGGCATGGGGCTGAACAGCCGGTCACCGCCAAGAGATGGCACCCTGCCACAGGAGGTCCACCGCGCACGGGGTGGGGGACACAGACCTGTCTGCCGGCGTGATGAACCCCGTGTCGTCGGGCTTGTCTTCATCGCTGTCCTCGTCCTCCTCTTCCTCGGAGGATTCCTCATCGGAGGGTTCCAGTTCTCCCCACGGCGTCCGATCGATCTCCTCCTCCTCCGTCTTGGTCTAAGGCGACGGAGTTGGGAAAAGGAGGTTCTGGGCACCCGGCCGGAGGCTCTCTCCTCGCCACCAGCTGCCCGCTAAGATCCGAGAGACCATTCCCAGCCTCTCTGCCTGGCTTCCCACCCATGGCTAAACCACTCAAAGCCGCTTATGGAAACTCCAGGGAAGCTTACATGGGCCACATTTTAACTAATCCAGTAATGATGACACAGCACACCCTTTAACTGGTTATGTAACTATACACAGAGATTAAACCATCTACTGAAAATGAACACAGAGCCCTAACCAAAATAAATAAATAAAAGAAACACGTTTTTTTCCCCCCCGCAGCTAAATCCTGCTCCAGTGGCTGTGCTGGCCAGGGGATTCTGGGTGCTGAAGTCCATTAAAAGTCCTTTCCTAAAAGTGCTGCTTTTAAACCAGAGGCAGGCCCTGCTGACCCTTAGCCACGTGGGGAAAAGACACCTACCTGGAATTCGGCAGCGTTGGTCCCAAAGACATCTCCGTACAGAGGTTTCCCGGTCTCATCGACCGGGGGTTTACCCCAACCCCCAGCGTGGTACCCAAATGAACATCCCTGGAGGGAGAAAAAAAAAGGTGGAGGAAAGTCATTCGCCTCGTTCCGCAGGTGGGAGGAGAGGCTGAAAAGAAAGATGTCCTGGATTCTCGATCATCCCCAAGACCTTACGAGCCGTGCAGATTGACTATGAGCGAACGTTCAAAACCCCCAACCTAGCACACTCTCTTCGTTAATTCTCCCGGCAATAAAAAAACGGCGCACAGAAATTTAATTTGGAACAGATCCGTCATCCTGAGTCTCTCAGCTTCAGAAGACAAGTTTCTGGTCCTTAAGATGGTTGCTCTTTTTTTTTTTTTTTTTTTTTGGGTATGACTTGAATAAAATCAAGTTGAGGCTGCAGGGTTTAGAAGAGGGCAGGCCGACGCCTCAAGCCTGAGGCTTTTTTTTTTTTTTTTGCATGACTTGAATTAAATCAAGTTGAGGCTGCGGGGTTTAGAAGAAGGCAGGCCCACACCTCAAGTGTGAGGCGATCAGGAGGGAGTTATCTGCACCTTGCACGGCTTCTGTCACTCCCCGTCGCTCAGAGAAGAGGAAAAACAAGCGAGTCTATGGAGACTTGAGCAGGTCACAGAAACCAGCCGTTCTCCCACAACTCCCACCCAGAAATAGACTGTGGGGGCTACCAACGGGCCATCTTTATTCTAGCAGAGGGAGCAGCGAAACGGCCCCTCGGTGGGGCTATTGCAAGCAACTGAGACCAAACCCGCCTTCCTCCATCCTGCAGCCGAGGAGAATGGGAGCCGCCCCTCACTGGCTCTGCTGGAAAGCCTGCCCCACCAGGTTTGCTACCATGCTCCCAACAGACCAGTGCAAAACCTGGTCTTTAAGCTGGTGCCTTCGTCAGCTTCTTTTTCCTTTTTGCACCTTTCAGGCCGGAAGCCACCAGGGAGGAACATCCCCTACAGACGTGCGTTTGCTGCTCCGGAAATCTTTGTCTCTCTTTGACATGTGGGGCAGAAGCACTAAGGGAACGACAGGTATGACCCACCTCAGGTATAGGGGAATTCAATCCAGGAATCTTGAGGTTCGGATAGGAGGGTGGCGGCCCGTAACGCTGCATGGCGATCAGCCACGGAGGAGGAACTTTGTGGGCGTTCTGGAGAAACAGAGGGAAGAACTTAAGTCACAACAGCCTATTTGCAGGGCGTTCTGGAGAAACAGAGGGAAGAACTGCGTAAGTCACAACAGCCTATTTGCCCACTTACTGGACCCCCGGTGTCAGCTGCTTCACACCTTGAGCCTAAATCTGATATTTCTCTTTTTTTTCACAAGCTCTGTCTTAGGGCAAGATTTGTTTCCTGTTCCCGTATACATATAACCTTCTATATCGCACCCACCTCCTCTCTCTATAAACAGTGGTGCCTCACATAGCGATTGCTCTGTATAGCGATGAAATCGCTTTGCGATGGACTTTTTGCCATCGCAAGAGCGATCGCTTTGCGATGGCCCCTATGGGGAAATTTCGCTTTGCGATGATCGCAGGGAAGCGATCATCGCAAAGCCCCCATTTTCCGCCAGCTGATTGGCGATTCCAAAATGGTAAACAAAATGGTTGCCCGCTATTTTGCCTCGCTTTAGAGGCACCGAAAAATGGCCGCCGCAATGGAGGATCTTCGCGTAAGGTTAGTTTTTAACCCCATAGGAACACATTAAACGCGTTTTAATGCATTTCTATGAGCTTTTTAAAATCACTTAGCGATGAAATCGCTTAGCAGCTGTTTTTGCTGCACCAATTAACATCGCTAAGCGAGGCACCACTGTATATCACTCCCTCTCCAAAATCAGAAAATTAATTCAGAAGCTTCACAGATCGTTTCCGGAGTCCTCGTGTGTATATACAGTATGCATGCCTAAGTCGGTTTGGCAAAATGCACAGACGGCAACATCTGATTGCAAGCCCCTGATAAAAGAAACCCATCGAATTGAAGGGGATGTGCACGAACGTTCATCTACTCTGCTCATTCTTGGGGGCCTTGGTACCGCTCAGAGGCACCGCTTGTCCAAAACATGAAAGGGGGGGTCATCCTTATTCTTAGCCCAGGTTAGCAACGGAGAAGCAATTCAACAGTCGGCATTTCCCACAGTCTAGTCGGGAGCTTTTTCCTCTGCCTGGCTTGTTTATCCAGCCGGGGAATTTCTGGAAGTCTCCCGGAGAGATCGTATAAAGTTCCCAAGCGGGAAACTGAGTCTTTGGGTTTGCGTCACGGAGCCGAGTGCGCAGAGGCACTTGTGAAAACCACAGGCTGCAGGAGGAGAGGGGGGCTTTTAGAAATCAGCTTTTGCTTTGCTTTGATCTTCTAAATCCCTTAATCATCCCTAACAAAGTTAGATTTAGTTTATCCGAAAACTGACTCCAAATCTTCTCCACCACCGTCGAACCTAACGGAGAGGTGCTGGGTAAGTAAAATCCGGCTCCGAGAAAAGCTTGATGCCGACGGAGCAGAAAGCAGCACCGCTGGAAAAGGTCCTTACGTACCGGCCCCACAGGCATCCCGAGCGCGATGCGCAACTCGTCCGACAGGTCTCCGGGCTTCTTCTCTTTCAGACGCGTCTCGAATTCCTTTCCCTGATTGGGAGGCCAAGAGAAGGGAAAGAATGAATCAGGGAATGACCGGGAACGGCCTCAATCCTTTTGCAAGACAGAAAGACACACACACCCCGACAGGGATACTTTAGCTGTACATTCACTGCATCGTTTGGGGTCAGACTAGATGACCCTCTGACCCCCTTCCCATTTCACGTTCCCATGACTCGTACCTCGTAGTACAAGTCCCCGTGGATAGTCAGCTTGGGCTTGGTTTGCCATTTGAAGAAAGCGTCGTGCAGCTTCTGATAGTCGATGTCGATCTTGCCCATCTTCGGGCGGACCTTTTCTCTCATCTTCGATTTCATGGTCTTCTGTTCCTCCTGGCAGAGGGGCACACAAGGGTCGTCCACATTCAGAGAAGAGCAACAGCTTCTCGGACTGAAAACCCACGGAAGAGCACGGCGCGGTTCCACGGAGGGGAGGGTTCAAGGCGACCCGAACGGACCCACCCTCTCCCTCCAAAGCTGGGCCCAGTAGGCCAATGTGAATTCTATAATTCTATTTTAGCTGCCAGGTTAAACCCAGCGTGATCATCTCTTTTCCAGCTCATGGGAAGTGTGTAGAAGGGAACCACAGCTAGGTGCCCACACCGTGGGAAGGCCAAAGGTCTCCATATCTCACAGAAGCTCAGAATTTAGTGGTCTTTCCCTTGCTTCTAACCTTTGTGTTTTGATTGCCCCAGGGAAGGAGACTGGAGAAAGAGCTTGTTAAGAAGTGCCTACTTCCAATGAAATGCTTCAAATTTTAATTTATTTAAAATACGGATGATGACATTTCCTAGTCGTCTTCCACACCTCAAACTGGAGCCTCCCCGTGAGACACGTGGGTGGAATATTGTGCTCTGATATTCTGCACTGGGGACCGGCCGCTCCGTTTGCTCTGTGTTGAATGATAGCTCCCACGAGGCCCCAGTGGGCAGAGGCAGTGGCCCAAGGCTTATGGGAGCTGTGGTCCAAAAAGGGCTGGCAGGAATCGGGTCGGCCATCCATTGCAGAACACTCCCAAGATGGAGAAAAAGACCCACGGTCGTTCATGTCTGCGGGCAGACCATTCCTGCTTGGCCACGGGTGAGGAACGGTCGGCCGGGACACCAGAAGAGCCAAAGGCTTTCCTGACCCACTTAAGGAGGTTCTTTCACGATCGCCACAAGGACCACCCCCAAGCCTTTGCGTGGGGGGTCAGGGAGCGCCGCCCCACCTTCTCCTGCAGGGCTTCCCGCATCTCCTGGATCCCTGTCCGCTTGATGAATTCGGGGAGCTCAAAGGGCGGCTTCTCGATCCCCCTTTTGCCTTGCAAGTATTTGCGCTTGAAACACCAGTGCCGGGGCACTGGGACCGAGTTCCGGGTGGCTTTGAGGTGGACGAGCAGCTTGGGGTCCTGGGCGGTCACGTCGTGCATCTCCACCACGTCCGGGCGCGCCACTAGCTGGAAGGAAGCAAAGGGCTGGAGTTTTTCGGAAGGGGGCCCTTCCGGTTTCTCAAACCACCAGATCTTTCAGAAGGCAGCTCCCCCTTCCCCCATGCCACCCCCTCGCCAGGCGCAAACGGACATCCTAGGGCGCACTTCGCACCTGGCCAGTGATTTCCCACACACAAATGCATACGGATCCCAAGCCGGACCAGCAGGCAGAAAAAGGTTGGAACACACCCCGGCCCCTCTCTTCGGATCCAGAGAGAGGAATCACAATCAGCCTCCCAAACATTTTCGGAAACCGCCCTCTCTGACGGGAGCGTCGTCCTGTGTCCAGGCGATGCCCAAATGAAATCGGCAACAAAGGCTTTTCTGGGGGAGGGGGGTTCCCTACCTGTTTGAGCTCAGCCACAGTAAAACGGTTCATTCGGCGCAGCTTCTTCTTGGACAGCTTAGGCGCTTCCGGCTTCTTCTCCTGAAGGGATTTGGGAACAGATTGAAAGCCGTCACTCTTTCTTCCTGCCACTTGTTTTTTTTTACAGGGAGTTCTGCATGATAATAATTGAAATGCGCGGCTCTCCAGAGAGATCCCCTCTCTCCCTTGCCTCCCACTGAAACTAGGATAGGCAAACGCAGGCCCTCTAGAGGTGTCTCGGCTATTTCACGCAATCTCCCGTGGCCGGCGATGCTCACAGATGGGAGCGGCAAGCCAAAAAACATCTGCAAAAACTCAGCCGCTCACCTCTGCTTTCAAAGCTTGCAAGGTGTGTGTGTGTGTGTGTGTTTCTGCAAATGCAACAGCCATGCCTGCTCCCCACTCCTGGAACTGGATTCTCACAGGTAGACTGCCTTCCTCTAAGGAAGCTTCATTCTTCAGTTTATTTAATTTTATCATTCACATTTAATTCCCAATGTCCCCCAGCGTCCGGGGAGGCTCTCCGGGAGCATCCGGCTGGCCCAAAGCCACGTGGATGACACGGCGCACAACCCCAAGGCATGATTTATGAATCACTTTCCTTCCAAGAGTTCAAACGGGTGTGCACCGCTCTCTCTTCCTCGTAACCGCTTCAGCCTCACAGCAGCCCTGCGAGGTAGGATCAAGCCGAGAGAAAAATACACCTGGCCCCAAAATCCTTCACTGTGGGTTCAGTGAAACTGGAACTTCCCACAACTCAGCACATTGCTCTAACCACTCTCCCAGACAGGGACCGGAAGCGCTCTCCTCTTGGCCTCACTGAGGAAGGCACACACACACACCCTGGCCCTCCCAGGCCAAAGGGACTTACCTGCTCATCGTCTGAGCTGTCATCGCTGTCCTTCCGCTCCTCTTCAAAGCCTTTCTTCTTGGGCAGGGCAGAACTGGCCACCTTATCGGCTTTCTCCGGCTCTTTCTCCTTGTCCTTCTTGACATCGTCCGTCAGCTTTGGAGAGGAAACGGACAAAACGTTGGGCCGGGGATTTCCGCAAAGGGAGGAGGACTGCCATTTCTCCCTATGTTTCTCTGTCAATCATAATTTTCCATGATCCAGCCATGCGACGACTACACCACACAGGCCAAAATCCTGTTGCTTAACGTAGCAAAAGGCACTAGAAAAAGGGCCAATGAATCAGTGGAGATTTGTTGAGTCAAAACCTCCCTGACTCCCATGGATTCAACTCAGCCTACTCTGAGTGTGATTCACAACACAAAGAAACAGGATTTTGGGTGTGCATTTAGCAGTTAAAAAGCAGGGACCCAATCCACCCACTCAGCGGCAGTCTACTCATCTGGAGAGGGGCAGGTTCGTTACATTTTGCAGGTGGCGGGGGGGAATCAGGAAGCCCTCCCCCCAAAAAACCCTCCTTACCTTGAAAGCCTCAAAGATCCTTTTGAAGAAAATGAAATTGGGGTCGTAGATCTCCGGCTCCTCTGTGACATACTCTATCTCCACCGAGGCCTCGTTTCCAGACTCCTCCTTGGCATCCTGAGTGGGGGGGCTCTCTTTCAGGGTGGCGTTTCGCTGCTGCTGCTGTTGCTGTTCCTGCTGCTTCTTCTTCTTCTTCCGGTTCCGACGCTTGCGGTTTTTCTGCCAAACAGAGGAGACGTCACAAGGATCCCCAAGATCAAGCCCATCCCTGGCCACCTCACCAAACTGGGATAAAATGTCACCGATTGTTCTAAACATCTCCCTTTTTAGGGGGCTCCTGTCACATTTCACGTAGAAAATGCTCCCTTTTTCAAAATGGGAAGTCGACATATGCCCGCCGCCTGTTTGAATTTCTTTGTTTTCTAAATTCTGGTGGACTGTGTGAGCTTCGGAGGACCTCGAGGGCAGAAAATCGCCTTGGGACACACTGAGGTCGGCTGTCCCTGATCTGAAGCCTCGCTGCTGTCTCCTGGAAGCATCTCTCTGAGCTGGGCTTTTTGCTCCTGGATGCATTAGTTCTTTTCAGAAAAGTCGCCCACCTTGATCTTGGAACTGCACAGGGAAAAAAAAATGAAGGGCATAACGGCCGCAATCCTTCATTTTTCAGCCCACTTCGCCCCTCACCTCTTTCTTAGACAGGGCTGCAGCGTCTTCCTCAGCGTCTGAAGCAGAGATCATACCCAAGGCTCTCAAATCGGTCTCCATCTCATCGTCTGCAAGGGAAATGGGGAGGGGGACGAGTAAGGCGGGAGACAACCGACACGAGATGCCTGCTCTGGAAAACCCCATGAAGCCTCTCCCTTCCCACCAAACCATTCCGTCACCTTTACTTCTCTCCCGTGAAGTCCAGCATCAGGCTTCTGAATTTTCACCAGTGGTTTTCCTTGCCATCACGGAGCATAGGAAAGTCTGTCGTGCTAAGCACCACACACCACTAAAGCAGACCTCAAACCTTACACCTGTGCAGTACAATCACTTGGAATGTATCTAAGCCCACAAAGAGAGAGGGTTGCCCATTTCCTCGCCTCCTTTCAACGTCTCTCTCTCTCTTTCTCTCCTGCCAGACCAGAATCCCTTACCTGTGATACTGGGCACAGCTATGAGCTCCTCCTGTCGGATCTCCTTGAGCTGAAGTATCTTCTCCAGGGCTTGAGGGATTTTGGGGCCCACCCCAGAGTCATCCACCTGAAAGTGACAAAACAGGTCTCATTTCAGCTCCCACCAAGTAC